CCGATTTTACGTTTTTTGTTCTGATTTTTATTATCTGGTTTAATTTCATTGTTATTGTTTTTATTTTTATTATTATTCATGTTAATTGGTGTCTTATTATTTTCAAATGAACGCAGGATATTGAAACGATTGTGCACCTGCACGCTTGCGTCCATCTGTGGGATGTCTACATCATCGCAAGCCGCGTCGACGCAGACGGCACCCATGTCGGCTGCGCAGGAGTCGTTCGATTCATAAGAGAGACGCACATGCGAGAGATTGAGTGGGGGGAACGAAGAAGACGAACATGGCCGCGGTGAGCGCTCGCGCGCAGCTTCAACGGTTTTACCGACCACGTGTGTGGTGGGACGCGCCTGTATGGAGGCCATTTTGGATCGCCGCTTGGCCTTTCCTTCGGCGATAAGATCTTCAATTGATACCACAACCGGTTTATTTTTGTTCGTATTTGATGTTGTTTCACCCTCCGACACGGGTCGGGGGGCAATGCAAAAATTATACTGTCCGGATCGAATAGAGATGAATCAGATTGATTTACCGGAATCGGCGTGTTAGAATTTAGATAATACTCAGCAGGCACGGGGGGGGGGGCACTCCTCGGTTGAGACGACTGATAGAGAATCAGGATCCCTCAAATATTGCTCCATCAACGTGGAGACCCTTGGTAGCGATGCGGGGGAACAGGAACTCCCTCCGCTGGTGAACTGGCATTCGGGGCCGGGGCCGCCGATTGCCTCGATGAATTTCCCAGTTGATTGATATTTTCCTTAGTTAAGCCGCATTTCAATTTTCCGGTGATATCGGAGCACGGAGAGATTCACTAGCTTTACGCCTCACTGCGAGGCGTTTTGTTGAGGGATAGGGGCGGCGATCAGGCGGTGCCAGCCCTGACCGACACTAACACACTGCGGAGAAGTTTAATTTTAAACAATGGATTAATAATATTAATTGAAACTGAAACTACACTGGGCGCCAAAATTAAAGCATCACTAAAATTTGCCGAAAATATTGGTCATTTTCAGATGCCTATATCTTCGCGAAAAATGGCTATAAAAAATATTGTGACAGAGAATTTTGTAGCCCGAAGTTTCTAGTTTTTGAATCGGGAATTCAAAAATTATTTTTATTTAGTTTGTTCCTTTTTTTTTTAAAGATGAAGCGCAGTAAGCGAATGTTAAAAAATGTTGGTCAAGTTTGAGAGGATGCATGGGCCAAATGAAATTTTTTCTGGTAATTCCAATGGAATACTTTTAAAAAGCAAACTTTTCTCTTTAATTTCGTTTTTTTAATTTTGTTGTACAGTTTTTATTGGCCGAGTTATTCGTCATCATATGAGAAAAGGTACTTTCCACTTTGACCGCCTGTAACTTGCGAACGCATGATCGTATAGAAAATTCCAGAAGTGATTTGGAAAGCTGAGAGATTTCTCTTTAAAGACCTTTAGTTGCCAATTTGTTGAAATTTTTTTTCGTCGTCTACAGTCCATTTCAAAATAACGTAAAATATTGCATAATTACCATTTTTCACAAAACACGATGCCATTTTAACAAAAATTGTGGAATCTTCCAGGTGTCTACGTTTTTTTAAAGTTAAAAGTACACGTAACCCCTGTACCAAAGGCCGCATTGATCAGATTTTTTTTACCCTGTGCCCTCGATAGTGAAACTTGCGATACAGTCTGAAAAATTGGTGAATGACTCTTTTGCGGCACGTTTCCTCTTTAAAACGATTTCGCAGCGTTTGAACTGTTGTGGTCTGTGTCTTCTTAGTTTCACTTTATTTCAGAAGAAAGTAGAGATGTCAGAAATTTAGCAAACACATTTTTAAACAATCTCTTCGCAATGACAAAAGGTGCACAATACTGCCGGCATTAGCATTACCTAAGGCGTACCACGAGGAGGTTTCACTGTCGGATTTACGCTTCACTGCGTATGTACAAGCATGGAGAGATGAGACCCTGTGGTTCGTCACTCCCACAGTATTTTTTGACTCCAAACTCACTCTCCGATGCGTGCGTGCGTGCATGTATGCGTATGTTGTGTTTAATAATGGGTATTACCGCCTCTCCGGTTGATTACTTCTTTTAATCGTTTGCGCATATTAATGCACCTCCGTATGATTGACTGTGGTATTCTTCGCCAAATTTGGCGGAGGGCGTGCGCTAATTGCCCTAAATTCGCCAAGTCTGGGTATTGCTGTCGCAACCGACGTCCAAGAATATCCCAAACATGTGCAATGGGATTTAAATCTGGGCTCACTGGTGGATGGTCAAGAACTGGTATTCGATTTTTTTGAAGAAATTGTTGCGTATAGCGTGCAACATAGTGCCTTGCATTGTCCTGCATAAGCAGAAAGCGGTTGCCCATACGCTGACGCAGAGGGAGCACAACGGGGCGCAAAATCTCGTCCACGTACCGCATGGCGGTCAAACCACCACGTGAAAGAATAACTAGCGGTGTACGTGAATACCGCGATACTCCGGCCCAAAGGAACGCGGTGATCGGCCTTGTATGATTGGTATCGTAACGTTCGCCACAACGACGCCAAACCTGTTCCCGTCGGTCGCTCCCTCGGAGGCAGAATCGGGACTCGTCTGTAAGAAGGACATTTGTCCATTGACGCTGAGGCCAGCGTATGTAATGACGAGCATAAGCTAAACGCTGCCGTCGATGTCTAGCAGTTAGCAACGGGACTCGTACCGGGCGCCTCGAACGTAAGCCAGCCTCCCTCAATCGACGCCTCACGGTGTTGTTAGAGATCGTGCGTGGCGGGTTTTGCCTGCGGTTCGAAATTTGTTCCGCAATAGTGCGTGCGATAACAAAGGGTTCCCGAAGAGCACGTCGCGTAATTGCTCTGTCGTCTCGAGAACTGGTCGCGCGTCTGCGTCCTTGCCCCGATCTACGGACATACTCCCCAGTCTCTCTAAATCGAGCATAGACACGGCTCACAACTGACTGGTTTACACCAAGAACATTAGCAACCTGTCGTTGGCTGCAACCTTCCTGCAAAAGTGTTACCAGTCGACCAATTTCGTAATCAGAGAGATGACGTCTAGGCATAATAAAGTGCTTAAAGAAAGAGAAAAGGTGTGAAAAATTTGCTAAGAAAAAAATTTCGATAGGAATAAATAGAGGAGGAAACTGAAGGATTTAATGGAATTGCTAAAAAGAAGAAAAAAAATCCGTGATGCAATTACTGCAAGACCAGTTCTAATGAGTACCCACCCACACTCGCGGTTCGTCTTATCAAGTTGGGGCTCGCAAGCCTCAACTGTGAGAATCGTCGCGGCGCCGCGGCCACCTACAGACAGTGCGCAGTACTAACGTTACAAGCCAACGTCTCGCTGGCAGATGCCAAGGTACTCATCTCATTACACAGCGAGGAGATGCAATGGAAAGGAAGAAGTTCGGTAAAAAAAACCAAATTAAGTTCAGTAAAAAAAAAGAAGAGTGTATCTATCGCAATAACTAAGAAAGGGTAGGATATGCACACCATCTGCACCCTCTCGTCACTTCGCATTGTTCACTTTTTGTCATTGCGAAGAGATTGTATAAAAATGTGTTTGCTAAATTTCTGACATCTCTACTTTCTTCTAAAATAAAGTGAAACTAAGAAGACACAGACCACAACAGTTCAAACGCTGCGAAATCGTTTTAAAGAGGAAACGTGCCGCAAAAGAGTCATTCACCAATTTTTCAGACTGTATCGCAAGTTTCACTATCGAGGGCACAGGGTAAAAAAAATCTGATCAATGCGGCCTTTGGTACAGGGGTTACGTGTACTTTTAACTTAAAAAAAACGTAGACACCTGGAAGATTCCACAATTTTTGTTAAAATGGCATCGTGTTTTGTGAAAAATGGTAATTATGCAATATTTTACGTTATTTTGAAATGGACTGTAGACGACGAAAAAAAATTTCAACAAATTGGCAACTAAAGGTCTTTAAAGAGAAATCTCTCAGCTTTCCAAATCACTTCTGGAATTTTCTATACGATCATGCGTTCGCAAGTTACAGGCGCTCAAAGTGGAAAGTACCTTTTCTCATATGATGACGAATAACTCGGCCAATAAAAACTGTACAACAAAATTAAAAAAACGAAATTAAAGAGAAAAGTTTGCTTTTTAAAAGTATTCCATTGGAATTACCAGAAAAAATTTCATTTGGCCCATGCATCCTCTCAAACTTGACCAACATTTTTTAACATTCGCTTACTGCGCTTCATCTTTAAAAAAAAAGGAACAAACTAAATAAAAATAATTTTTGAATTCCCGATTCAAAAACTAGAAACTTCGGGCTACAAAATTCTCTGTCACAATATTTTTTATAGCCATTTTTCGCGAAGATATAGGCATCTGAAAATGACCAATATTTTCGGCAAATTTTAGTGATGCTTTAATTTTGGCGCCCAGTGTATTATAGAAGTATTAGAGCAAGAAAGTTAAATAAATCCCATGCAGGGATATATGGCACGATACAGCATAATACAAGCTTCGAGGTCGAATCGGTGTCGAGACACGGAGCGTAAGCAAAAACGTCACAAAATTGAGTGACAAAAAAAAAATTGGTATGAGTATGATCCGCGGATGAGCAGTACGCGTCCCTTTTTATACCCCGAAAATCGAGTCTGAAAGTAGTGGGAGACACGCCTGTTCCTCAACGAAAACTGTTTTCCAAGAAAATCTGGCCTCGCCATAACACCCCGTAGGCAATTACGTAATCTGGCGGGATACATTCCAACTCCCGATAGAGTTAAAAGGTCACGAGAGTGTCTTCGTACGTAACATAATATACTGTATTTGTAACAACATGTCAACAGTCTGCCTTCAATTTGTAACAAAGTTTATGAAAAGTGTTAGCGACAGCCAGTTGTTCTCGTTATTATATGCCGGCGGCAAGAGCAAACCTTTCTGTTAAAAGTGCGGCCGTCAAAGTGTTAATATACTGAACATCATATATTATATGTAGTTTTAATTAAATTTTTATGCCAATAATCAAGAACAGGATTACTAGTAAGCGTGATATGGGGCTTACATGTTGGAAGTCTTGGTACATGGGGTATTATTCAACTGATGTCCATTTTTCCTCGTTGCTTTACACTTGGAGAAGCAACCGCAGTTGTGCATGGTTGCATCTTATTTATAATGTCCGCAGTGACAAACTTACCACTGCGGTGTCATTTACCACCGATACATAATGATGACATTGCTACAGTTTTCTTACAGGTATTTAAGAGAGAAATGTTGATAACATAATTAACCCCTTGAGTGAGGAGAGTGGACATACTCACTGCGACAACTCGATCGTATGGTGAGCGGGTAATCGAGCCGCTTAAGCCGGCTCGAGCCGGAGACGGAATCCACAGAGCTACTCGAGCCGGAGACGGAGTCCACAGAGCTGCTCGAGCCGGCTCAAGCAGCGGTGGCGACTCTCGAATAGAACCAGTTCTACAGAGCTGAAAGGAATCCACTCCTATAAGCCTCCGTCGACCGACCCTCGGGTTACAATGTCATCACATAGAATGAATCATTCATAAATAAAAATTTTTATTTTTACTCCTTTCAGTCGAGTTTTTTAAAATGTTATGAATAAATTTAGGAGATTCCCCTGATGAAAATAAGTCGAAACACGACGTAAGTTGAACTATTTTCAGTATTACATATGTAGTTCGAATCGCAACATTAATACTTTTCCGGCCGCTGTCACGCTGGCGTGACTTTTGCTCGCCAACGGTTATCGGCCGCTGTCACGTACGCGTGACTTATGTTCGCCAACAATGATGCTTCATATCGACGTTTGTATAGGTAGACATATTATGGAAAAGCAACATTTGACGATCAGGGAACATTGGTTTCAACTGTTTTCCCCTCCCTATTCACCCGACTATCTTTTATTGAAATCGTTTTTCGCGGATAATATTCCAACTACTTATGTTGCGAAAAGTTGCGTAAATATCACCGTTGGCGAGCAGTAGTACTTGCGTGAATCTCGCCGGCGGTACCGTAACGGCGCTTCGATAAATGCGCGGCCGGCAAAGTGTTAAGGGAAAGGTGGAATAATTAATTACAGTTTTGCCTTTTTGTCGAAGTAAAAATGAATGTTTATTTCATTTATATTTCATTATTTGCATAAAAATTGTTAGTATTCTAACTACTTGCAAGTATCCGATATTGAAAAACTACTTTTAAGTATTGAACGTGGTGCTATTCGTGCATTGTTTTACTATGCTGATATAGGTAGTATTAGATGTTCCATTTATTTCTTGAAACAAAATTTACTTTGCTGCTGGTGATATCTTGTGAAAAGTGATTGCAAAAATGTTACATTTGATTGTATACGTAATTATTAGTTTATGTAATTATGTGTTAATATTAAATTGGCGCAGTTTAACTACAACGGTCGATGATCAAGTGGGCAATTATTAAATTACACAACCTGTTTAGTTTACTACAGGTTTGTTTATTACTAGAAACAAATCCTTCTACTTATTACAACTTTGCAACAGGTGAGCACGCTTAAGGAGAACGCTATGAACGGGACTATATTTTGGTTAGACACAGACTGTTACATTTCTGGCGCAAGAGGGCGCATTGATTGTATAAATTTCCAACATTATGTAATTGCGATTTTTTTCGCATTATATTATTTTATGCATTTTACTGTCCAGATAGCACATGACGTCTTGAAAACATCCATTTTACAGCTATTTTAGGTCTGAACGACTGAATGTCATGATTAGTAACAAAGATGTCTTTAAGACGCCTTTTGACCTTTGTAAGGCATCTTTATGACATCTAATGACGCCTTTAAGACATTGGTGTAGACCTATTTAAGGCGTTGGTATAGACCTGTTTAAGGCGCATTTGTAAATATATTATATACAAGTATACAAAAATATATATATAGTAAAATGTGCCTTGTATAACAAACAAGTAATATAACATAAGTATTGTGTCAATATAGCTCTTCAATATTTGTAAACACACTGTGAATGATATATTTTACCAAACATAGTATGTAATAATAATAAAAATAAAAATAAAGTCAACTGTAATCAAATTTTAAGACTTAAATACAAATGAAATTAGTACAAATGAATTTTTATTAAGTTTGATTTCCTTTCGATAACCCTTTGCTTGGTTAAATTTATATCATTATTAATCAGTCTCAATAACCATTTTAAATGCGTCCGAATAGCCTTCTTTAAAGATCTGCATTTGACCTGATTTAGATCCGATATTAAGACGCCTTGATTTGTCACATTAAACCTTTAAAAGACGTGAAAATGCTATTCCTAAACTATTCAAGACGTCTGTAGACGCTGGAACGTCTGAAACAAACGTCTTTAAGCTGTCTTTAAGTCAGCTCTGTGCTATCCGGGTATACACATGTTTCTATACCACATTTAAGGGGTTATGCCTACCTGCGAGCTCGAAAAAAGACATGTACTTTCGGAACTTATTTTTTACAAACGAAGACTTTTTTAAACATACGTTATTGTATTCGAAAATGTACATTTTAAACTGCTTATAATAATTTCGTCAATGCAAAATATGCATAGAGGAAATATCAGCGATCTCCCGGCGGCGTTTTTATTTTAGGCGTTTTGCGGTGACTACTGTAATTAAGAGTTCGTTTGTCTAAAATAAAAAATCTGAGCAAATTTAGTTAATATATTAAATTATCTAGTGCCTGATTGTTCATTATCCTGAAAAATTAATTTACGACAAAAAATCGTTCATTTTTGATCTATAAAATAAAAACTACGCAATGAAATACAAAAAGCCACGATCTGGCACTTTTTTTATGTATAGAATGAGTCCACCAAAGCTGAATTAATTCGGTGCAGCAGTTCTCGAGATATTTTGGTCACCGATTTTGAAAATGTGGTTTTGAGAAAAACACGTTTAAAGTTTCAAGTCAGGTTTACAACCGAATCAACGCAAATTTTTTATATGTAGTTATTCTTAGTATTACGGCTTCATATAGCTTTGTGTATTTACTAACACAACCATAAATTGCATTGGAGCACAGTATTCATGACTCACGCACCCCTAGAAAGGGATTCTACCACTTTATATCTGCTCCAAAACTTCCAACACCGTATACATTAAACGGGCGTAACTCCGCCAATTTTTGAAACTTCAAACTTTCACGCAATATTTCTAAAATGATGTACTGTAAGAAAATATTAAAACCCAAAAATCGATTTTTTCAAAATTTATAGGTAGGTATAACCCCTTAATTATAATTAATTTCTTACCTTTGCTTCTTACATTAACCTTGGACTATGCTTGAATTAAAATAATTGTATTATGTTTATGTCTTAATGATCAATCTATTAATGCTGTTACGTTATCCGCGATTTCAGCCGGTCGCGCGGCCGTTACGCGGCACGAACAAAGTGCTCCCTCCCGGCCCCTCACCTCCGGTCGCGTCCCCGCGAGTTTCTCCTCCTTTTTACCGGGCGCCAGTTACGATTTTACGTACCGACCGATATTCCCCGAATACCGGACCGAAACCTGCCCCCTCTAATGGGGCCGAAATCTACGGAATGACTGGGAAGAAAGCACCCACCAACGGATATTTCAATAAAACCAGGGTTACCAGGGTCCGCAAATACCGGAACGATAGACTCTCCCCGCGACAGGAGTTCCCGTTGGACGATACAAACAATTAAGAGAACTCAGAGACTGTCCCTCGGGACCGGGTAACAAATTAAATAATAATTTATTAGATTTCTCGCGCCGGCCTCTTACGAGACTGCGTTACAGTAGGTGGTACGGTAGTTTAACAAAACAATACCCGGTTCGACGGTCGACTATCGTCGCGACCCACGCCTTCGATATCACCGAATTTCAGTACGGTACACGACGTTTCGCAGTTTCGTGGTCTACGACCACTCGAGATGTTAAATACGAAATTACAGTGGCACGGTCGGACGGTATTACGCTACCGCCGATTACAAATGTTGGTACAGTGACTTGAGTGACTTCGCGAGGCGATATCGCGTCCTGGAGGAAAGCTGCCCGGAATTCTCGATATTCTATTTCCCGACAAACCCCGTGGTTCCCCGCGCTCGTTAGCGAGATGCGATGTTAGATTTTCTACCGCGACATGGTCGGGACGGACGAGATCTAGATTGCCCTATGGAGATCAGATGATAAAGCTCACTTACAGTTAGACGATAGTATTCCTCGCAGCCTCGCTACCTACTTCCCACTCGCGATACTCTATTGACGATACTTCGGTTAGGCGGACCACTCAAGTAACGATTTCGGGGCTCGTTCCGCGACGCGAGGACTTAGCGAGCCCCCCACTATGCTGTTCTGTTTCCCCGCGTACCCCCTTCGACTCCTGCGGAGCCACACTCCTTCGGCTCAGGGACGACACGCCAAGGAAGGGTCCCCTGTCCTTGGAGATTCCTTCCCTTGTGTGAGGAGCCCAGACTTACACGCTCCTACGTGGTTGCTGCAGCTCCTCACGGGTCCCCTGCCCCTGCTTCCTCCATCGTGGTGTGATGGGTGATCACACGTTGCCCCCTTGGCCGACCAAGCGCCTCTCGAATCTTGTCCGGTCGAGCGGCCGCTCGACGGGATTCCGGGGCGGTCCCTGGAGAAGAGTCGGTGGGTGCGGGCGACACAGCGTCCTCCGTCTATTATTAACCCCGATCGTTACGGTCCTGCAATCGCGAGCAGTAATTCGGCGCGAGATTACCACGTGATTAGTTTAAATCCGACCGGCAGTATTTCCCTAAGAATCCTCCAGGAGCGCTTAGATGTTATTTCGTGTGAGTGAGAAGTTGCGGGGAGCGGTCCGGTTCTCGGTTCTTCCGTACCCGAGTCGAATTTCGGGCCGGAAGGGGGACGGCGCAAAATGCGTCGTAACAATGCACTGAATTGCTTCATATTATGTTATATGTATATTTTACAATATATTGGTTTAAAATGTTACTGTATGTACTTTACCATCTTTAATTATAATTAATTTGCAAATGTATATATGTGTGTATCTATGGAATACATGCAAAATTGTATTATTCATTTATAATGTGGAAATTTATTATAACATGTTTTATTATAACATATCTTTGTTTGTAATACCATTCATTTAAGAAATTAAATAATAAGGAATAAAGATTAATAAAGACAAGTATAATAGAGTTAAATATCAAAATAGCGCTGTACCAAGTGCTGTCAATAGTGGTGTAAATACTTCAGGATATAATGAATACAGTATTGTTTTAATCGCTTTTGTTAATTTAATTCTCTTAATTTCTATACTCTTTTGCTCAATATAAAAATATTTCATATCAGATTATGTACTTACTTAATAAAGGAAATACACATTCAAGTTATAAGTTACTTTTTTACGGAAGAAACGTCAAACAAATCGGTTTTTCATTGTTCTCAGCACGATGCACCTCACCAAGAAATCTGCAAAATTGCAAGGACAATACATATGAATATATATGTTGTTACTATAAAAATATAAATTTAGTCATTAAAACTTCAGTCGCTAAATTAATTTTTTCCAACTACAGTTTTCAAACGAAAAATTAGAAACAATTCTGTAATAGGTGCCCCGGTGTTTGCAACGTATGAGATTTTTTACAATTTTGGCATGTCTCTGAATAGAGAAATGCAGCGAAAACAATTTTTATTCATACGTTATGTCAGGTTTTGACTTATTTTCATTAGAACACTCTCCGAAATTTATTCATAACATTTGAAAAAACTACACTGAAAGGAGTAAAAGTTTAAATTTTTACTCATGCGTGGTTCATTTTGTGTGTTTACACTGTAGCCTGAAGATCAGTTGCCGGCGGCTTATAGGGGACAATAGAGGTGTAGCACGTCTTGCTCCGCTGCCAATATAGCTGGCCCCGTGCGATTTATGATCAGCTAGGTGAGCGAAATAATCGTTACTCCGTTTGACAGATATTGATTTTTATTGTGGCCTCGCCTGTTTACAGCGGGGTCCTTGGACAGTCCCTTACAAACAAAACTCTTTCACTCGCGACTCGGAAAAACTCTCTCTCGCGTGCTGTCTTAATTTGTGCCGTACTCGTGGGAGCGACGTCTCGCCGAAATTCCCTGTCTCGTCTATCTCTGACTCTCTCTTTCTTCCTTCTTACTTCGCACCTGTCCGCGCATAAACAAGGCCGGTAACCTAATTATGTCACCGGTGTGAAGCAGTGCCGGTAACCTATATATATTACCGCCACAGGGGTTAAGATAACTTCTCTACGTACCAAGGCTTGGCTTGACAGCAGTGGTACATATACTTAATACAAGTGCCTATATCTTATACATGTATTATACGCGTATAATACGATGATCCGTTCGCACTATGGCTGTTACAAGTCACATGTCATATACTATCTACTAATTTTCCCATACGAATCATATTAGCAACGTTATCTGTGATTACTGCATAAATATATAAATTATGCCTTTCTCTTGAAATAATAATACATTCATTCACCACATCAGTTAAAGCCTGTGCAGTGTCACTCAGAATAGGTACTGAGGTTCGATGATTTAAGAAAAACATATCTTTGATTATCTAAGCGTAACAACGCTACTCTAAAAACCAAATAAGACCATAACTGCGAAATGACGAATTTCGGTCTTGTTTGCGCATATTCCTCTCGGTTACCTTAGTTACCAACCTCTTAAACAATTGAGTATCATTATGCCTCGTGTAGCATCATAAACCGAGTGACTGTGAAGTACAAACGTGCCAATTCATAAGTATTCATGTCTTGAGAAATACTTCATTATGTCACCCGGTGTATGACAAATTCTATCGTCCCTGTTACAGAAAGCGAGAAAGTGGGGGAACCAGGGGTTCGAGAGACCTCTCCTGCTCATTCGAGATGCGCGAAACAGTTATGCTCTTATTTGGTTTTTAGAGTACAATATTTTTAGTGTTTGCTGCTCAATTTTTCCATCCGTCTAATAAAAGAATGGCATCCCTTGATTCAATATTAGCAATAGATTGTTCAAATTCTTTGTAACGAGCAACAAATACGCTTGTGAAGAGAGTTTTTTTTGTAGGAATTTTATATGATGGATTAAGTTTATTAACAAAATTTTCAAAATGTTCAGACTTCACAGTAATTAATGTTGCATAAAAAAAAACTTGGCCACCAGTTTATTAGTCTCTTCGGCATTAAAGTAGCCTTATTCGAGATTTGTTAAAAACAGTGAAACAGTTATAATTTTAATAATTGTAGACATTTATACTAGTTTACATATGCTGAAGTGAAATGGAATTTCCGTACTCCTTGTCAATAATACAATTAGTAAATTTTAAATTTTACCTTCCATCGTTTGCTATTACAGTTGCAACATAAAATATGCAATAACAATAACTTTAATGCTTAACAGTAGAAAACAACTTAAAACCACATCCATCATTGCTTGACAGAACCTGGAGTCTCCGCTGAGCTCATAAAGCTGTCACCCAAGCTCGCTTGAGCGCTCGATTATCTATTACCATTGGTGGCAAAAGTGAATCTATCCGTCGCGGCAAGTTGATCATAAATATTGTAAAATATCACTCCCCACCTACCGAACGACGTGTGAAAGTTCTTTCCTCGTTTAAGGGATTAAAATGTTTTGGACTAATGCCTAATGCTACATAATTTCAGGTTGCAATTCTATATATAATATTGGTGTGCTTAATATGTGGATATTTTCCGATATTTCGTGTAACCAAATATTTTTATATAACAATAATTACCCTCTTACTAATGATATGTTTGCCGTTAATGTACATCATATTGGATCAAAATCCTATAATGTGGATGCTGTCCTACATATTCAGTTCAGGACATAGAGTATGTTTTTATAATAATTATATAATAACGTTTGTTGTATAACGCATAAAATTATTTTATAATGCTTTTAAATGTTGCAGATTACTTTAATTGGATATTGGGTTGTTTGTTTATCATTAGGTATAATTGCTGTTGCATGTCAAATCTTATGGAATTTTCAAGCAACAACTTCCATCAGAAAAATTTTTCATATACTAGCTGTACTTGTGTACATACCTGGTTTAATATATGAACAGACACTGTTATACCTTGCTAGTGGTATAATAATGGTATTATTTCTATTTCTCGAGGTATACCGAGTTAAATTAAGTTTCGTTTCTTATGATTAACAGAATTTCAGAATTTAGATATTGTTTTCGTACCATTAAATAAATGTTGGTTTGTCTTTATTTTTAGTTGATGAGGTACTACAGAATTCCACCTCTTGGTAATGCATTACAACAAGGATTTTCTGTGTATGTTGATGAGAAAGATAATATGATTTCGTTGACACCTTTATATTTACTATGTGGGCTGTCGTTTCCACTTTGGATGCCAAGTAATAATGTTCGGCAGGTTGCTTTATTTACTGGTGTTCTGACAATCGGAATAGGCGACTCTGCTGCTAGCTTTGTTGGTAGTAAATGGGGTTTTCGTAAATGGAGTGGTTTAAATAAATCCATAGAAGGAACAATTGCTTGCATGTTCAGTCAAGTTGCATTCATATGCATTTTAATATTTATGGGTATGTATTCATTGTACATTTGTTTCATTTTTACTATTACACAGATCAAAACATTTTTTTTCTGACCTTAAATGAATGTAAATTATATATAATAATACTGTCAATGGGACCTTGCAACAATTCAAGTAACTAATGCTTAAATTTTAATCTACATATTATGTGTCACACAAATGTGCTGCAGGGTCTCCTTATAAAAAATTGTTTATAATTATATTATTATTTATTCAGTATATCTAATTATTTGCAATAATTTCTTTTAATGTAATGCAGTTTGTACTTTGTATGAATGTTGTTTTTTGTGTGTTGACATTTTTGTTAATTGTATGACAAGTGATAAAAAAAACTAATTCATTTTAATTCTTTAAATAGGTTACATAGATAGAGGTTGGTTAATTTTGAGAACACTGTTATTAAGTGGTGTCGTATCCTTTGTTGAAGCACAAACAAATCAAGTTGACAATTTAGCATTACCTTTGTTGATGTACATGGGTCTAGCAGTTTAGGCATACAATGAGGATGAATACTGACAGTGGTAATAATTATATGTAATAACCATTCTGGAAACAATTGAAACTGAAGGTTTAATTATTGAATATAGAATTGAACCAACAGCATAGTATTTAATTAGTGAACTTTTTCATTTATTTTTCTACAGTCAAGAAATTTGTATACTTTATTTTATTATACATAGAGATTTTCCATAATCATTGTATTATACTAATTTTTTTCGTTGTCACAACTGTTAATTTCAATTACTAATAAAATTGTTCGATGTTTGCTTTTTGTCAGTACAAAGATTTAAGTAATAGATAAAGTTTCTAGTGGTGAATCTACATATTCAGATCAGTATACCTTTGTTAAAAAACTTATCGCAAAGACAATTTGAACTATTTTTAGATATTTTTTCTGTAAGATAAGAAAAGTTCAACAAAAATCATATATCGTAAACGAACAATTTAAAGATTACTTTTTTTGATAGTTTAGTTATGCGAAGTTATATATGTTTAGGAATCATAACTAGCCACCATTTTGTAGTTCATTGGTATCAATATGATATAAAATATTGAACAATATCCTATTTTTTAAATGAAGTATATCGATTGATCATCCGACAAAGATGTGAACATTACTCTTGTGATATCTTATAAAGTTTTACTTTACTTAAGGTTGTATACAGGAATTTAAAAAATTCATATTAATTTTCATATTTTAAATAAAGAGTAGAAAGTTACCAATCTGCGCGTATCAGTGTAGCAATATCTAAAGTTACGAAAATTATTAAATTATTTTTATGTAAGCGTTCATATTTGTATGTAAATAACCTACTAAATGTATTTATATAAAATATAACTTGTTAACGTGTTTAAGAAAAAGGACTTTGTGTAATATGAAGTTAATATATTGTATATGAACATTTTTCACTCAATCTGCTGTGTACAACTTACCCTAATTTAGTTTAGTTTAGTATAGTTTAGTTTAGTTTAGTACAAGGTCTCCCGGGGAAGAGGAAGTGCGATTTCCCCCCCCCCCCCAGCAACGAGACTACGATGGGCGTTACCCAGGGATATTGTTTCTTCCGACTTTCCACACCGTCCCATCTTTTGTACGCCCGGGCCACATGGAGGTGGGGTAAGTACTCGTACGGGGGGCGAAGAGTCACTAGGATCGTCCCATTCCTACCTATTATGTTAGCTAAAGGAGTATGTACGTCGGGTCAACCGATCGTTCGTCTCCTGAAGTGAGTACCAGTTCACTCTTTGCTTCACCCACAGACCGAGTCTGTACAAGGGTGGTGTTTATCGTATGTACCGTCATCATTGAGAGAGAGAGAGAGCTATATCGCCTATTTCAACCCCCTACTAATACCTGCCTATGTCCTGAATAACTTAAGAACCCCCCTCCTCTATTCACCCGTATCAATGCTACCACCCCCCAAAGTCAAGGAGGAAGCCCCGTGGCTCCAATAGACACACATGGGGAGGCCGTTCTAGCTGGCCTCAAGGAGAGACGTGGCCGGGTTCGTCGATCACTTCCCCTGAGAGCCGCGATGGATTATAAATGAACACAACGCCGTGAAATTTAGTCTATTTATACCAGGAGAATGATGTTAAGATATTGAAACCGAAGTAGAGTAGATCGCGTTTTGCCCCCCTCCCTAGCAGTTTGTCAGGAAACGCGACGCAAAAGGACAGCCCACCAGACTTCATCGAAATTGCTCCGTGGAGTAAATATCAGCTACATCAGGGGTCTGCTATAGCACCCTTCCCTAAGGTTGAGGTCCTCTTTCTCCGACGTACCACGGACATTGCAGCGTCTGTCAAGCGCCCCATGATCCGTCGCCGATTGTGGTCCAGGATGATGGCGTTTACCGTCACGTACCCGTGAGGGCGAGGCCTATTTCACTAGTGCTTTACTTTTACGTTCTGTGCTTCGGCCACAATGGACTGCCTTTCGAAATGCGATGGTTACGGAGCTCGTTGGGCCGATATCTCGCAAAGTGATGTTCTTCATCGTTCCGAGACTCGGGTTACCAGTATACGCTCCGCTGATCAGTATCGCATCCGGGTCCCATCGCGTATAAATCTACTCAATTGCACGATCAGGCCTCCGAAGAGTACCAACCTGATATGCCCCCCCCCCCCCCGCACAACTTACCCTAATAACCAGTTGTGTACAAGTTTCGAGCAAGTTGCCAGCAATAAAGTACAAATGTTGTCTACAAAACCATAGCCATCTATTTCCGCATTTGACTACGGTTTTGTAGGCAACGCTTGATGTCAACATAGTTAAGCAATTTGACAGAAAGTCTTGCTACAACGTTTATGTCAAGTTGAGCGCAAGACCGGCACGTATTATATGGACGTGCATATATTCGGGAACTCAAGCGACTGTAAGTGACAGCACGACCACACTGTCATGGCGGTGGTGGAAAGTATAAACATCTATTATACTATAAGAAAATAGATTTTCTTGTAGATTTTATAGTGCAATTAACACTAAATCTACCACGACTGGTTTTGCTGTGCTAATTCCTATCTCCCTGTGGGGTTTGGTAGGTTTAGGGTTAAGAATGATGTTTCAAATTCGACTAAGTCGTTCGCTCACCGTCGCGTGGCCGAGGTTTCCTGAGTATTGAAGTCTCGCGAAATCCCGTCACGCTCCTTGTTCTAAGAAATTTGACGCGAATTCGGCGAAACCAATTCTGACACACACCTATATCGCGCGATGACTCACCGCCAATCACCTAGTTGTGCAAAAAAGGACTCTCGGTGTTCGAACAGTGTCCTACACCAACAGCCCGCAGACTAGAGCAGAATAGGAAGTGTACCGGTACTATTCTCGCACGACAATTTTGCTGGCACATCGCGTCGTTGTTGTACAATTTCTTTGTTGCAACCAAGCAACAAATTCTTATCTCACGCGCATTGCGTTACATTTCGTATTCTTTACTGTATATCGTCCAATAAACGTTCTAAGTGTTTGGTCTATCATCGTAATTTCTCGTGTGTTTTACTTGGACTCGAGCGAGAGTCCTCCTTCGACCTCCACGCTCAGCGCTAAGCAATCCCAGTGATTTCATATCGAAATTTGCGGCAAGCTGCCCGTTTCGAAACAAATGAAATTAAGTATTCGTAACACAATTGATTATTATTGACTTTTTTACGGAAATAAATCATTTTGACGATACTTTTATTATTAATATATTTATTTTTCTAGTAAATTTCAATTGCATTTATAATTTTATAATTTTTAAAGTTTTTCAATTTTTACATTTCTTATAAAATAAACTTATATTGTATAGATTATGAGTCAAAAGTTTGAAATCATTTAATATTACAAGAAATACAAAAATTCAGAAAAGAATTTATTTACATATTTATTTATAATTTCAAATCAATCGCACATACCACACGTATGTCTTGTGACTGTCTTGAAAATATCTGTATTCAGACGTTCATGTCGTCTTGAAAACGTCTGGTAATATCCTGTGAACAGCCTATCTAGAGCCTGTGAACATGTCCTGTGAAAAAAAGGAGTTGTCTTGAAGAAGTCTTAAAACGCTCTAACTAGCCATCTTAAAGACAGGGTGGAGCTGTTTCAGGAGGCGTCTTTGTAGGTAATGCAGATATGTTACAGGCATCTTGTAGACATTTTAAGGCTGTCTTATAGATTTTGAATAGACGTGTTAGATATGTCTTATAGACATATTAAAGATATGTAACACACGGTTTAAAGATGGCTTCAAGAAGACTTATAGACGTGTGTTATAGACGTTTTACATGTGAGGTGAAAATATGACAAAACGGATAATTGCAGCATGTGCTAGAATAAGTTTAGAAACGGTAAGACATGCACGTGATGCACCGATACGAAAATTGCAACTTTGCATTGACGCAAACGGTCACCACTTCGAGCATATCCTGTAATCTAAGAAAGATTATTTTACTACCACATTTGACCTTGCATGACCTTCGATGATAGCTCGCTGAAGTGGTCTCAACACCGGCTATCACATCGCGATAAAAAAAACATAGCATTCCATTAAAAAAAATAGAAATGACCTTGAAATCTCCTCTATGCTTTCACCCACGCAGAAAATGTTTGAGTCACAATATGGCCCTCTCTATACCGTGTAAGTTTTGTATATAATATTTTTTCACATTATTACAAATAACGGCAATATTCAAAGTGGACATAGTTATTGCCCCACTCTGTATCTACATATACATCATTTGTCTAATCTAAACTGTATGGACCATGTGTCAATTTGTTTCTCATTTAATCCTCTCCGTTGTTATCCATGAAACAGAATGCACATAATACAATTCATTAGTATACAAGGAATATACAAGTTGATATGAGAAATATTGACAATTTTATAAAAACATAAAAAGTAATGATTCATACCTTGAAATTATACAGGTGTTCAAACATTGCATATGACACCATATACATTACACATATATGTATATATACAAGGGTGTTAAAAAAACCATTCAATAATTATATGATACATAGGATACACTGTACTGAGTAAAGAAACCTTAGTAAACACAGGTCGAATGGTCAACCGTTTTTGAGATATAAGTATTTTTGTCCAAAATAATTCCTTAACCTCAACTGGTTATACTGGGCACACTTTTACTCGATGAAAACAAGATTGCGCCATGCGCTTGTGCGATTGTAACCAATCGCCAATGTGGCTCAGAATACCACGTGACCGCAGCTTACGAACCGTCCCTTTACTCCTATGTCCATGATCCCTTTTCTTTCCTTCTTTAATGGAGGTACAACCTTGAAAAGGTGTACCGCTCGCTGGCAACGGGAACGCTCGGCATGACTGCGGCCAGCCCCGCCCATTGTCCTACCCTATAAGTGTTTAAGGGAAGGGCTCTTTTCTGGAGGGTAGCGATTGCTCCCCCCCACCCGGGACGGCTGCGATGCCGCCCCTCCACCTCCTACCTACAGTGTCGAGGGGTCAACTCTCGACGCTGCCTTCTCG